CTTTGATGTGTGTAAGTGGAACCGTCGCCAGAAAAGCGTGAAATCGTTAACTTAATAAGTTCCTGGTGAGTATTGTTACTATAAGTGATTATAAGTATCGTGAATAAATGAATTATTATTTATTAATATTCTCGAATCGGAGGAAATTTTTTTAAACAATAATGGATGGCTGTGACCCAGGGTTCTTAATCCATTTTGAAATGAAGCGGCCACGGGTAGGCTTAACGAATAGTGAGTATTGTTACTATAAGTGATTATAAGTATCGTGAATAAATGAATTATTATTTATTAATATTCTCGAATCGGAGGAAATTTTTTTAAACAATAATGGATGGCTGTGACCCAGGGTTCTTAATCCATTTTAAAATGAACCGGCCACAGGTAGGCTTAACGAATAGTCATCTTTTCAGCAACAAACATGTTGGTTTATGCATACTCTATTCACGACAGTAATTGCATAATTCATTAATTGCACGTATCCGGGATAATAATAGCTGAAACTCTGAATAAACTAGACCGTTGTAATTGCATACTTATATATATACATCGCTATAATATCGACTTTTATAGTCATATTATTATTTCAGCAACTTGCATTGCATATTCCTACTTTTTATTTCAACCAACTTAATTGAAGTTATAAATTAGTAAAAAGAAAAACTACAAGTACACACAAATGGTTTTTAAATTATTTTATTCGTAAGCACATGTTAATATATATAAAAATAACAAAGTAGCACAAATTAGTTTCCGTGTATAGTCGGAACTCGGAAATATGCTGTACATGCGAAAGGTCACATGGCCAATTGTCGTGATTCAGATTAGTTTATTTTTAGTGTTACCCGTATACAATTTTGTTCTGTCATTGTCTTTCTTTGCTGCGCATGTATGATGGTCAGATTTAATATGGTCTTTTATTGAATTAACAGAGCCACTTACAAATTTATTTTTATGGTTGTGCTTCTGGCAGATCTGAAATTTCTAAAATAATAGGCTATTACTTGACATGAACATACTAATAATAATATACGGGTCAGTACCTGACTTACTTTACATTAACATAATTACCTGACTAATAAAATAAGTAATAATTGATAACTTACGAGACAAAACATTTTCTCTGAATCTTTGTCGAACAAAAGCCATTTGAAAGTAGTTAACCATTCGGATCTAAAATATCTTCCGGCCTTCGACTTTGGTTGACCTATATTTGACGTGGGAGGATCTCTGGCTTTTGGAACATCCATTGACGACGTGCATGCTTGAAGTTCAAGGTCAATGCCGCCATCACTATCTTCAGCTAAATCTCGTTTACGTTTCCTGCTGTCAATCTGCAAGGTGTTCAAGTATTTCAACATTGTGTTTGATAGAAATGAATGAACTGACATTGGATTATATACATTCTTTTACTTGACATGATTACCTCAATTAAGTTGTTTATTTATGAAATAAGCCAAGGGTATTCATTGCAATGATTGACTCTTAGATTGTTTTCTTAATCGACGAGTAATAATTAACTCTTTGTAATCGTCCGAAAGTAGATTGACTTATGATACCATAGTGGCCGGTTCATTGTTTTACCAATCGGCCTGATAATTAATTCTTTGTAAATCAGCCGAATTTGTGATACCTTAGTGGCTGGTTCATTGTTTTACCAATCGTCTAGATTAAAGATCAGTCGGCTAAAGCCAACAAAAAACAGCCGATTAAGATCCCTGCAGTGACCAATAGGACTATTTGTCGACGATTTCGATTACCGCCGTAGTTTGCAAGAGACACTGAAGATGGTTAGATAGATTGATCTATTATAAATACCTTCATATTTAAATATGAATTTAAATCCTCTGTGGCAAGGTTTGATTCGTCACACTATTTGTACCCGTTCCCGTTCTTACAACGGGTTCCTCATGCAGAATACAGCGCAGTGTGTATTGTTATTTAATTTACAATTCATATTTGTTCTCGTTATATGCGGATTGGCACATGTTTTGGGGCAGGCGGCACTTTGATATCTGTATGGATTAAATTTGGAATCACAACTAATGGTTAAAATAAGATCATCAACACCAATCTGTTTTCACTAATTTTATTGAAACAGATAATATGATAGCAGATAACAGAAATAATGAATTTCATACACATACATACATACATACATACATACATACATATATACATACATACATACATACATACATACAAGCATAGATTCGAGCACTGAAGAATCGTGTAAATATCTATTTACATTTGAGAAACAATAACTATTAAACAATATATATAACGATGAAAATAGTAATAACATATAATAAGGCACGGAATAGTCTATTAATATTTTAAATAAACAAAATTATATAGCACACAATAAATATATGTAACCTTGCCGGTTACTTTCCTCGATTGAAGGTTGAGAGTCCCTAACAATACTCACCAGAAATTTATATAGTTAACGATTTCACGCTCTACTGGCTTTGGTTCCACTTACCGACGTACATCAAAGATAACTGGCGGTTTCACTCAGGTAGTGAGCGGTAGCCCAAATACTGACGTTTTCTTAGTTAGTGACACTTTTTATACACCCACATTTTCATGTGGACGTATATTGTCCTCGCCCCTGTCCGTCCGTCCGTCCGTCCGTCCACAATTGTTTTCGACAGTCTACAGGTCACAATTTTTATCCGATTTCAATGAAACTTGAAATATAGGTTTATCACCCTAAGATCTCGGTTCCTTTCGATATTGGCATGTATCGGATGGTAACTTCATGGATTATGGCCCCTGATTGTACGAAAAATCGCGTTTTTAGCTTGTGAACACTGTAGAGGTCACAATTTTATCCGATTTTGTTGAAACTTGAAATGTAAGTTTATAACCCAAAGATCTCGGTTCCTTTTGATATTCGCGCATATCGAACGGTAACTTCCTGAGTTATGGCCCCTGATTGCACGAAAAATCGCGTTTTTTGGCTTGTGGACCCTATAGAGGTCATAATTGTTATCCGATTTAAAAAAACATATTTTTATATCACCGTTACACCCTAAGGATGGTTGAGTTCGAATTTCGTGAAAATCGGCCCAAAACTGACAGACAAAATGGCTGCCCTTCGTTCTCAAATAGCGTAAAAATATGGTATATCAAGGTTGTGGACCCTATAGAGGTCATAATTTTTATACGCCCACATTTTCATGTGGACGTATTATGCCGTCGCCCCTGTCTCCGTCCGGACATCCGTCCGTCCACAATTGTTTGTGGACTCTCTACAGGTCACAATTCTTATCCGATTTTGACGAAACTTGAAATATAGGTTTATCCCCCAAAGATCTCGGCTGCTTTCGATATTGGCATGTATCGGATCGAAATTTCATGGATTATGGCCCCTGATTGTACGAAAAATCACGTTTTTAGCTTGTGGACCCTATAGAGGTCACAATTTTTATCCAATTTTGTTGAAACTTGAAATGTAAGTTTATAACCCAAAGATCTCAGTTCCTTTCGATATTTGCGCATATCGAATGGTAACTTCCTGAATTATGGCCCCTGATTGTACGAAAAATCGCGTTTTTAGCTTGTGGACCCTATAGAGGTCACAATTTTTATCTGATTTAAAAAAACGTATTATTATATCACCGTTACACCCTAAGGACGGATGAGTTCGATTTTCGTGAAAATTGGCCCAAAATTGACAGACAAATAGCGTAAAAATATGGTATATCAAGTTTGTGGACCCTATAGAGGTCACAATTTTTATCCGATTTTGTTGAAAATTGAAATGTAAGTTTATAACCTAAAGATCTTGGTTCTTTTCGATATTCGCGCATATCGGACTATTTCCTGAATTATGGCCCCTGATTGTATGAAAAATCGCGTTTTTAGCTTGTGGACCCTATAGAGGTCATAATTTTTATCCGATTTAAAAAAACGTATTATTATATCACCGTTACACCCTAAGGAAGTCCGAATTTGAATTTCGTGAAAATCGGCCCAAATTTGACAGACAAAATGGCCGCCGTTCGTTCTCAAATAACGTAAAAATATGGTATATCAAGGTTGTAGACCCTATAGAGGTCACAATTTTTATCCGATTTTGTTGAAACTTGAAATGTAAGTTTATAACACAAAGATCTTGGTTCCTTTCGATATTTGCGCGTATCGAATTGTAATTTCCTGAATTATGGCCCTTGATTGTAGGAAAAATCACTTTCTTTTTAGCTTTTTCTCTATCCATCTCTCGAAAATGTGGGCGTATCCTGCCTGGCAGCCGCTGGTTCAAATTTCTCCCGCACGCCCCAGAGTAGTGATATGTTTGGATTAACTCACGTTTGTTTAATTACTCACGTTATTTTTGCATACTGACACAAGTAAGGAATACTAACCAATTAACTTAAATACTCACCTTATGATTATTACTGACCATTTATAGGAACACCATCGGGTCTAAGCGACTATTGACAACACATATATTTCTCACGAGTTTTAATGAATAGTAACCACAATTAATCTTTTCTACACTTTTGATGGATATTCTAACGTAGAGGCCAGTTAGTCAATACTCAGAGCTCAGTTCTACACACTATGCATGTTAACATGTAATCTTTTGTTTTATTAATTAACAAAACCTGATCATTGTTTTCACACCTAAAAATACATTATTTAATACTGATTGAATAAACTAAATTTACCATCAAAGCCCAGTCTTGTCACGATCATTTAGTATCTATTTTCCATTTCCGCTTTGTTGCTAAACGGAAGTTTTAGCACCCTCTATATTACATATGGAGTTAAAGTTAAACCCCTTGAAAATTTGTGAAAAATTCAGCGATGGTTTTCATTCCAATAGCGGGTTTCAGCGACGGCTAAATTTACCGATGCAAGTATCGATGGTTGCTCCTAACAAACACTGAGATTTTATTAAGAGGTCACTCCTGTCAGGTGGCCTGTCATGAAAATTCCTTTGAAGGACTTCTGAATACAGATTCTACTGTTTATGCATTTATATATTGTAGGAACTTTTAGAAAATTTGCAAGAAAATATACAAAATTTACCTTCTGAGAGGTAAGAAAGACTTATATCTGTTTGCTGTTTAGTAGATAACATCTGAGAGAGAGAGAGAAATGGGGTTAACGTCCACTCGACACAAACTAGGCCATTTCGGGACTAACATATGGTTTAATTTTATTTACATAATTCGCTTGCGCGTAGGGGTCTTTAGCAGTGGGAGGAAACCAGAGGCCCCGGAGAAAACCCATGAGGTTGGACAGGCGACCCTGCTCCTTGCCAGGTACAACCAGGGATTCGAAACCACGCCAGTCGACTCAATGACAGACTTTATGATACAGCGTGCGCACGCTAACCATTCAGCCATCCAACCCCCCAGATAACATCTGAGTGACAACAGTCAAGTTTCGCCTAATCCTCATCAAATTCCGATTGTAAAGGGGTCTTTTACCTTCGCTCCAATGTCCCATCTAAATAACTAGATAACACTTTACTTTTTATAAGTCCACATTCATAATGTGGACGTATATTGCCGTCGCCCCTGTCTGTGAGTGGGTGGGTGTGTGTGTGCGTGTGTATATCGAGGACACACATCTGAATACTAGTCACGTGGGTGTTGAAATGTTGGCAGGGTCAAAAAAAAAGAACTAGAATTAATGATCACATGTGGCAAGACCCCTTTTGTGGACGAGCGACAAATTTGTGAAAAAATAAACTAAATAAAAAGGATACACAGATTCTGTATGAACGATTCTAATTATATTCCATATGCCCTTCGTGCATCTCGGATTTATATTGCATATTTCTCATTATTCTTTCTAACCATGCACACTCGCTCAAACTTGAAAGGCTAAAAAAAGCTCACCGAATCAGTGGGTATAAACACGTGACCACGCTCTATATAAACGATCACAACACTTTCAGTATTGTCTTTTTCTCTTTTGATCTAGACCGTGCACATTCGTGTGTTCGTGATAACGCTGTTATCATGTTCTTAAATTTTCTTTCCATTGTGTTCAATGTGTGTTCATCATTTATGTTTTATCATGGACCTGTATTTTAAGGTCCATTTATATTATCTACCTTCGTTTTCATCGACAGATATGAGGTAGAATCGCTGATTCACCGATTTTTGTTTGTTTTTAGTCGCGGTCATCACGAAGTGTTGACTTTATTTCACTCTTTATATGGAGGAAAGCGATTTTGAGGGATTCTGCGAGGCAGATCTTTTAAATGATCAAAATGTAACCGCAAACTTGCTAGATTTAAATGTCGTAATTATACGGCTTTTTTAGACAAGAGATTATAATATATTCACCTTGAGTGGGACAATCGAGAATAAACCGGATGTTTACAACAGCAGTCCGATGATGGAGGTATACTTCCGATTCCGAACTCGATAATAACATTTTTAACCTACCCATAGGTAAAAACGAGCGTAATAACTGAAATTTTCCGCTAAAAGGTCTATAAAGGCCTTTAAATCTCATAAACGAGAATTGAACGCCAATAATATTGTTGGTTTGTAACTTTATCCAATTCAGTTGTGTTGAGTCAACAGAATTTGATTGATATATGATCATATTCATAATAATAATGATGATCGTAATGTTAACATTATATTACCGGTCCTGATTATTAACATAATATTAACAATAATAAAGAGGGTTACCCTTATATTAGTAGTAATAATAAGTATATGAGTAGATCAAATAAAAAGGTTGTTATTAATAAGACTGCAACAAATAATGTCATCACAACAAAATAAGCCGTTATGGCCCCTGCTATAGTATAGGCTTGAATCATAGTGAAAGTAATATTAATTTTCATTATTACCGGTACTGATTATTAACATAAAATTAACAATAATAAGTAGGGTAACCCTTATACTAGTAGTAATAATAAGTATATAAGTAGATCTAATAAAAAGGTTGTTATTAAATAAGCCTGCAACAAATAATGTCGTCACGACAAAATGAGCCGTTACGGCCCCTGCTATAGGCTTGAATCACATTCATAGTGTAAGTAATATTATTTTGCATTATTACCGGTACTGATTATTAACATAATATTAACAATAGTAAAGAGGGTTACCCTTATACTAGTAGTAATAATAAGTATATAAGTAGATCTAATAAAAAGGTTGTTATTAATAAGCCTGCAACAAATAATGTCGTCACGACAAAATGAGCCGTTACGGCCCCTGCTATAGGCTTAAATCATAATGCAAGTAATATTTTTAGGTGGTGGCATTTAAGTAGATAAAAATGAATTTGAGTTTCTTCAAAACCAGGTTTCCTTGATGTCCAGTCTTCACTGATTTAATATAACAATCCATCTTAAAATCAAAGTCTTGATGGTAATTGATGTTCATCTGTCTGTTAGGTCGGCTAATAGACCTGCATCACATGCTTTTGAAGATGCGGTATCAGTACATCATGGAGATAAAAAGTATACAATAACATTTTAAGTAACTAATAATGGATCAGGTTTACATATCATGGATCCTCAAAGTTTGTATGATGAATTCATTGAGTAAACACAAGAAACTAAGTTTGACATCCCCAAAATCTTTTAGGGTAATGATGTCTTTAATGATTCTGTGATCAACCAAGCTACCAATAAAAAGGTCGAGAAAAAGTTATTGACATTCTACTATCCTCTATCAGTTAAATGCAAGAGATTGTTGCCACCTTTGTTGGACCAGGATATTTGTCATGCCCTGTCCAAAGCGGCTCAGGATTGTTATCTTCAGGAGGTTCTAAAACTGATGCCCTCTGATACCTCTTTTAAATAAAAATATTGACCCTGAGGTAGTCCTCTCATAACCTTAGATAATGCCCATTTAGAGTTGTCTCTGAAGCATAGATTATTTCTTGGGAAATATCGCAGCAAAAGGTAGCACCCAATATATTTAACCACAAGGCCTGTTGGTGACACTTCTCCGGCTGGATTGTTCCGGCAGGCCCCTTAGGGGCTGTCATCTCCAACTGGGGCAGGGCGAGAGGCACTGGGCCACTATTACCTCAGATCAGTGAATATCGTTAGTGGTTATCAGATTGACTTTATTTCAACTCGTATATTCAGAAGGCTATTCCAAATAGCCTGCCTTTTAATCATAAACAGATGTCTTTAATGGATGAGGAAGTCATTTAAATGATATGTAAGAAAGCCATCGATTCTGTATCATCAGCATACAGTTATTAGGCTTTCACCTTCGGTGAAAGACTATTGTTATTACTATTTACAACCCATTCAGGCTTTTCAGATTTTAAAATATTTCTACGTAACATTTATAAACTTGTAGCTATAATCCATACGAAGAAAATGTATTTTAAAATTAGTTTGTAATATAAGCAGTTACCTAGAAATGGTCAATTTTGCATAAGTCACTGTTTTCGTTATTTTGCCTGTAAAATAGTCAATTATTATTGGATTTTCGCAAAAGTGACTCCATTTGATTCAAAAAGCAAGTGTGGGTCATATCAAATTGATTACAATTTAAAATTGACATCGGAAGTGACGCCATTTTGTCAAAAAATGCATTTTTAACTTTTAAAATCAATATTTTTTTCAACCAAGAATTATTTAATATGTATTAATTATTTTAACTTTTGGTTTACATTTACATATTAATAAAAATTCATACGGTCATGTAGATTTCACAAAATTGTTTCTAACTTTTTCAGTTGTGGAGAAATAGGCGATTTTCAACAGGTCACTTCTCAAGGTTTTTGGTCCATAAAAGTGTCAATTATTATTTGATTTTCATAAAATTTTCACTGCTTGATACCTTATGCCATTTACAATTTCATACAAGTGATTTAAGATCTTCATTACCACCAGAAGTAACGTCATTTTGGCAAAAATTGTATTTTTAGCCTACAAAACAGATATTTTATTCAATGGGTCTGATTTGTAATGTTTTTAAAATTGTGATATTTGATTCCAATCAACAAATAGATTGAACCCATACGATCATACAGATACCAGAAAATGGTTTCTAACTTGTACGGTTGCATAGAAATAGACGGTTTTCTACAAGTCACTTTTCACCATGTAATGCCTTATGCCATTTCTGATTTCATAAAACTAATTGAACATTTTCATTATCACCGGAAGTACTGAACACTTACATGTAACAAATGTATAAAATCAATTGATATTGCTGGATTTGATTGATTCGGCGTCCATTTTATTTGATGTGTGCAATGCTTATGTGGAAACCTGTTTAATGGTTTCATTGGTACCAGAAGTGACATATGTTTAGGGTAACGACAATAATCCAAAAACCGGAAGTAGTCAAAAAAAATATCCAATATTTTGAGAAAAAAACCCATAAAAAGTAAAAAAATGGTGATCTTGCGAAAAAAGTGATTACAACGTAAGATTTCAAAACATCTAAAGTGTCATTGGATAGCCCGAACAATGGAAGATTGTATGACATCTAAATGGTAAAAATTCGCTGGTTAGGCAATATATAATGGGACGCTGAAAATCTAGTATTTTCATTTTTGGGGACTATTCAGACTATCCAAAAAGGGCCACAATCTTTGAAAAATCGTTATATCTTCTTCTAATGGTCTAATGGTATAAGGGAGATATCACATTGGTATCAGACTACCAATTATTTGCTAAATATTGTTAAATATCCTCTAATTTTCCTTTCTTTTAAAACCAGTCCAATGGATCTTTCTGAAACTTCTGTACAATGATCCATAAACCGGAAGTAGTCGAAAAAATATTCGATATTTAAAAACCCCTAGTAAAAATCGGTGCTCTTGCAAAAATCGTGATTTCACCGTCGGGTGTGACCGCATCAGAACATCTAAAGTATCATTTGGTAGCTCTATGAATGGGCTATTGTATGACAAACTTCCTGTCTGATTCCTGAAAGCCGGTTCAGTGCTGCTTGCAGGTCTAGTTATTATTTTTTTTTTATTGGGGGAAGCTAGATCTCAGTAACTATAAGAGATAGAGGTTTGAAATTTGATTTTCTGTTGAAAAAGTAGTGTGCAGCTACTGCTTAAAGCTATTTCGAAATTTGTGCGCATAGC